GGGGGGGCATTTGCCCCCCCCCCCCAGCTTGTATGTTAAAAAAGGCCCTGTCACGAGCATACACTATTCGTCATAGTATGGCCCGCCTCACATACCCTGTGAAGATCTAAGAAATCTATTAACCTAATAATATCCGCACGCCTAACGCCTAAAAGTTCATAAATCATCATATATATCACACCTATATCTATCATTAATTAAGGGACAATTTTACACGACATGTGTTTCACTGTAAGGTCTACTTTACAGTCCCTGCGTGTGAAGATCTAAATTAAAAACCAATAACTAAATAAGGCTTAATTAATGGGAAAGTTGCGCAACGCAAAATCCCAAATGCCCGTATGTCCAATTACCTATGTCTAAAATACTAGGAGTTACTGTCGCTAGGAAAGTGCTGCCTCGAAATCGTTTTAACCAATATCAGATATAAAGTCACCCCACGTGACATATTATGACTGACATGATTTGCCACAAGGTTTATGAATTACTAATGAGTATTTTAATTAATCTTAGCAGAGAATCAAATCCAGAACATTTATTTATAAATGTAATTTTGACATTGTGCATATTATAATTATTTTACAAGTATATTAAATTTTAAAATTAACAGTGCATAAGAAAGAAAATTCAGTCAATAAATTGTTATTTTGTGCTATCACCACGGGTAGTTCAATGTTATCTTGTGCCTCAACGCACGGGCTCCATCACTAAAGGACAACATGAGCTCCACCTTTGAATTTACTATATGAGTAAATTCTTAAACACGTCCGAATTTATCATTATGATAAATTCGCGGCACATTTTGAATTTATCAATAGAGTTAATCATAAAACCACAATCATTGCACAAGGATTCTTGTTATAAGTGTAATGGCACTAGAAGGGAGGCTGGTCGCGCAGGGGCAGGAAGTTTTTCATGGTTTTTAAAAAAATAGTTTTTAAAAAAGTTTTAAAAAGTTTTAAAAGAGTTTTGAAAAGCAAGAAAAGTTTAAAAAGTTAGATTTTTAAAAAAGTTAAAAAAATTTAAAAAGTTAAAAAATGAGGGTTAGGGTTAGGGTTAGTGGTTAGGGGTTAGGGTTAGGGGTTAGTGGTTAGGGTTTGGGTTGGGGTTAGGGTTAGTGTTAGGTGCCGCGAATTAATTATTATGATAAATTCAAAATTTGCCGCGAATTTATCATAATGATAAATTCGGACGTGTTTAAGAATTTACTCTTATAGTAAATTCAAAGATGGAGCTCATGCTGCTAAAGGAAGACTACTTGTGACCGTCATAGGTGTTGTACAGGTAGTTCATTTTCATGTTCACTACAGGTGATATATGAAATGTGTCGATCAAACTCAAAGAATCAAGCACCTTGTAAGAAAACATGCTAGTACAACATGAAACACTAACAACTTTTGGTAAATTATCTACAGACAAAAATTCGACATCCGGGTCTAAAACAATTAGGCCATTATTCAGAGCTTAGCTTTTAAGTGCATTTTGTCTCCTTGTAATAAGACATTATTAAATTTGGTTGTTGACCAATCGATAAGTGGGTTAGTTTGAGCTGTTAAAATTGCTGATAAACTCATGCGAAATACTAAAACGTTCATCCTCTTGATGTATATTAGCAGAAGGAAATGAAGTTATTATATCTTACCTGAATTCTTACCGCGCCGTACAATTTCTGTCTATTTCCCCATTTATTACGTTTGCTAATTGGAATTTGCTAATTGGACTAGACGTTCGTATATACATTTGCAAATTAAAATTTTTAGCCCAAGCTATACCGCAAGACATCAAAGCATGTGCACGCAAAACAAAATTTTGTTTGACTACGTAGCTTAACTACGACATCTGAACAGACACAAGATCGAGATCTGGACAATACATAGATCGCGGAAAGGCTGGGCCGAAAGAACTCTGGAGAAACCATTGCACGTCAAGAATAGTGTTCTCAGCAATAACAACAAAGAGCGTCACAAATATTTAACTCTCTTATTATTTTTTGCATAAGACGAAAGAGAGTTACGTCAATTTTAAACCTCTCATGTTAGTTGAAAGAAAACGTCTGGCGGCTTGGAAAAGTGGGCGTAGCTCACATTTAACTCTCATAACTCTCCTATATAGCTTTCCCTGTAATAACTCTCCGTTTAGCAGTTCCCTTAAAACGTAAATTCTATCGTTCTTGAGATATGACGATTTTCTCGTCAAGCTAGTTTTCTAGTTTTGTACGACTCTGATTCTACATTTCATTCATATGGCTACTCGTTATAGTGACAAATGTTCTGCGCGGCCTATTTTTCCATTCATTTAACGTTTAAAGATGGCTCCCTATAGTTATAGTACATTTTAAAATATGAATTATATAAATCAGACACCATCGTCGCGACTCGCGCGTGGAACCTTCGTGGCCCGGTAAGTTAGGTAAAAATTTTATTTCGACTCGTTAGCCACTTCGACAAATTGTTGATTTCCAAGTGGGATGTGATTTAAAAACTACAAATATTTACAAATTAAGAAATAAGGAAAAAGTACACGCAAACTATATACAAAACTCTGTTATATTACATAAGTATAGTTATGGATTATTGTTAATTGTTAATCAGGGTGACATTAAAGATCTCGTACTATTAAATTCCATATTTTTGGTCGGCCTCCAAAACTATAAACACTTTCTTAAGAGGTATTCAGTTTTCGGACGCGGAAGCAAAAGAGTGGTGGACAGTATAATGGTGGACAGTATTTTGACATGATGTTTGTGACGTTACTCTGAGTGTATATCCCGCACCGGGCAAGCTTGAAAAATATGCCTGACCACGGTAGGAATCGAACCTACGACCGTTGGAATACTAGCCCACTGCTCTGCCAACTGAGCTACGCGGTCTGGTCGGTTCGAGTATGTGATATTTCGGAACAGAATCTAGTTCCTTCGATATCAATGTTATCTAATAATAATCATGATTTTTTCTGTGTTGGTGTAATGTACTCAGGTGAATATGATGCTTGTGATGTTACTCTGAGTGTATATCCACACCGGGCAAGCTTGAAAAATATGCCTGACCAAGGTCGTAAGTTCGATTCCCACCGTGGTCAGGCATATTTTTCAAGCTTGCCCGGTATGGATATACACTCAGAGTAACATCACAAGCATCATTTTCACCTGAGTACATTATACCAACACAGAAAAAATCATAATTATTATTAGATTACATTGATATCGAAGGAACTAGATTCTGTTCCGAAATATCACATACTCGAACCGACCAAACCGCGTAGCTCAGTTGGCAGAGCATTGGGCTAGCATTCCAAAGGTCATAGGCTCGATTCCCACCGTGGTCAAGCATATTTTTTAAGCTTGCTCGGTGTGGATATACACGGCTCAGAGTAACATCACAAGCATCATATTCACCTGAGTACATTTCATCAACACAGAAAAATTAATGAGTATTTGACATATTAAAAATCTCATTTTTTAGTTTAATCGGTGCCATGTTGTGCAACTAAACCTTATACATGAGCCTGCAGCTGCAATCTGAACCCTCTCCTCCTCCAGGATTTTCCATCCAAGAAGACCAAGGGCTACATTTGGTTGCCCATGCTCATTACAATTATAATTCTAGCAGTTCTATCATGAAGCTTCTGTAGTCGATTTGAAAGAGTATAGTATTAATTGAGTTCCAAACTTCACAACAATAATCAAAGTGAGGTTGAACTAGCGTATAGTAAACAGATTTCAGGGTGTCTTGATCCGTATATTCGGCTTTAATTCTTTTTAGCAATTTAGGGCACTAATATAATACCGGCAGAGATTTTACTCGATATTTGATCAATATGATTGTCGCATGCTAAATATTCGTCTTGAACTAGTCCCAAGGCCAAGAGATTTTAATTTGTAACTTAAACTCTTTCAATCGGCTTATCTCCAACGAAAACATTGGATTCTAAACTCAAGTTTTTAATGTTATAGGGAGCGCCGATCAAAAGGTATTCTGTTTTGACAATATTCAAACAAGTCGCATGAAGTTGTTTTTGCATAGTTTTTCTTTATGCTTCTAATTTTTTAAAAATTCATACAGTTTTTAGTGTGTTTTTACGTACTACGCCGGTTCAGTATTGTCTTTCATAATGTGCAACACAGTGTCGCGAACTAACATTCAAGGCAGTCCTGAACTGTCACCGAAACAGCAGGGCCGCCCAGAGGGAGGGCTAAGGGGGGAATTTGCCCCGGGCCCTCAGCTAAAGGGGGCCCGAAAATGTGCAAAAGAGAGGGCCCCGAAAGGTGTAATTAAAAAAAAATTGAAACGTTTTTTATGGTATGAGAGAAATCTGTTAAACCTTAATTTGTTGGTATTAATTGGTCCGAAAAAATGTGTTTTAGACGTTATTTTACAGGTATTTGCCTAGTCTCCTACGCAGCCTGTTCGCGGGTCCGAGGTTTTGTTGGGGAGAAAACCTCGGACCCGCGAACAGGCTGCGTAGGAGACTATAGTATTTGCCCGCTCGCCAACATTTTCGGGAAAAATTAGAGGCCCCGGCCCGAATTAAAAATTTGCACCGGGCCCAGAATTTCTCTGTGCAGCCCTGCACCGAAACGTATGGAAGTCCTATGGAATAGCGTTTTACCTGCTTAATGTAATAGAACTATAGTCCAGAGAGTTACGAGTTGTTTTATGCGAAAGGCAAACTTCTTGTTGAAAGTTTTGAAACGTTTTCAAACCTATTTTAACAACAAAACCAAATTAGAGCGCTTTCCATTTAATGACCTGACCGGTCAGACCAGAATTTTTGTCTATGTATCAATGGAAAGATCTGGTTTATATTTCTCAAATACCTAGCGAAAATGGACTTCATTCTATATTTATCTAAATTTTCCGGTCAGATAGGTCCGAAGCCCAAACGTTTTGCGTTCCATTCAACAATTTGACCGGTCTGGCCGTGTTAGTATGGAAAGCGCCTAATACGAAACGCTGAATTAATTCAATGTCTTAGAGTAGTGTAGGGAGCCACGTTAATGTTAATGAAAAATGGCATTGAATATTTTTTTCGATTGCGTTCATGATCCCAAAGTTATTATAGTTTTATTATGAAAATCAACTGTTTGGTTTTACATTCAAATGTAAAAGTGGAACCCGGAATGTGAAACTACTCGTTATAACGTCTATAATCCAGCTTACCCGATTCTAATTCAACATTCGAAGTCCTCTCTTTGCCTAAGCTATATATAGGCAGGGCAAATTATGTCTTGGCTGTATGAGAGCAAAAATCCACATTTGTAGTTGCACTTTCTTGTAAAATGATATAGTTGACGCTTGTTACAGTATTAACGCTCACAAGCTTCTTGGAAGACCTGTTGCCACCCAATGCATACGACGCCAAACTTAGCAAATATATGCACCCGCTGTAGATAACGTCGTAAAATTTATAGAATACCACCAAAAGTGAAATATTTGTCTTCATCTTTTAACTCTTTTATACATGCCTGAAATGGGACACCTTTCGAAGGTTCATCTCATTAGGTAGGCAAATTTCTCGGTGTAATTAAATTTGTTTATCCTTGTTATTTGTTTTTGCTTGTTCATTGTTGTGGTGTGAAAACAAACGTTCTGGAACGAGTTAAAACTCTTTTGGTTTCAACATCTCATGTATATACGTAATCGCCATTAAATAATTAGTATGTCTTCTCCAACAGTACCACGAAACTGTCTATTCGGAATCAACGTAAATGAAGGGCCATTGTACTTTGCATCGCCTGAATTTAAGGACAAATTTAACTTGGTTACCTATGACGAGAACATTCCTGGTTCAGAAATAGTGAATAGTATTTTGTATAACCTTTGTAACGTGTTTCCTCCGCAAGAAGACATCGTTAAAGCTAGGATAAATGATCGAAGTTTGGAAAGCGGACTTAGAGCAACATGGAACGAAAGTGGTTCTATTTGGAGCAGTTTCTCGTTGGCTATGAATTCGGAAACAGAGAGATCCTATCAAAGCAGTTTTGTTGTAAAGATCAACAATGAAGATAGTGAAAATACACAGCAGTATACAAGAGATGTCATTGATTTTGCCAAATCGTTTGGAATACTCTGCATTTTGAAGCTCGTTCCAAGAGAAACCAAGCCGGGGTATATGGTTGATATTATTTCATGTGAATCTCAAAGCCCTGAGATAGATCGGTTTGAGATATTACCAGTGAAATATTCAGGCTATCATCCATTGTTTAACTTCGGACACTCGATTTTCAAAAGTTTTGACGAGACACGAAATATACTTGATCTCGCGGATCGCCATTTGACCCTACCTGAAATTAAGAAATTGAAGCATTTAGCCGAAGAATACTCAAAGAAGACTTCCCCCAACAAAAGCTGCTTATCCAAATCCATTTATTGTTGTAGAGGGTCTGGATGGTGTCGGTAAGTTTATACTTCAAGTAAGAATAGTTGAAATGAGAATTATATTGTTGTTTATACCGGGGTCACATACACTAAGGTTTTAGAGTGGCAATTCAATATTCCATGTGCACGCTAATCCATATAGTGGTGGGGGATACTTTGTGCGAAAATATCAATACTTTCGATACTCACAATTTGAAACAAGGTATCAAGTATAAACTGAATAATTCAAATGATGATTTATATATTGATGTTACCGAGGGCTCATGCATGCACTGGGTTTTAAGCCCTGGGCAAACTAGGAAACATTGTTTTGGAAGCATTAACTTTCCTCAAATGTTAATTTAATGTTAATTTAATGTTTCCTCAAATGTTTCCCTGTTTGCCCAACCGTGGAAACATTGTTGCGGAAACAAAATTTGCTTCCAGAGAAGCAAAAATGTTTCCTAGCAAATTCAGAAACATTTGATGTTTCCCTATGTTTCTCACTAATATTTCCTAGTGTTTGCTCACTCTGGAAAACGTGACGAAACATTGGCAGGAAACAATGTTTCCGCAACAATGTTTCCTAGTCTGCCCAGGGCTTTAGAGTGACAATAGGCAATTTCCAACTATCGCAACGCTTGCCGAGAAATGCTGAATTTTACTGATTTATGTTTCGCACCAAACACTGGTTTAAAACTTTTATTTTTAGCAGAGATAATGAGCAAAATTTGGCATAGTTTGAGCAAAATAGCTGTCGAGTTGACACAAGAGTGGGGGCCTGTGGGGCTTCGAAAACTGTACTCTTTCGCACGTTTTGAGGTAAATAAAGTGATCGGTAAGAGAACATTGGACAATTCACCCTATTCAAATAGAGCTCTGGAACCGTATTGTTTTCTGTATATTTCTGAGTGCTTGATTTCCACGTACAGCAGTTGAATATCACTATTTTTAACCGACATGATTATGAATATGCTTTATCGCGAAAACAAACCAGGTTTACTAGCGACTGTTGAATTTTTTCTGGCTATATTTGTGGCCATATCTGTTTATAAAACAGTTATTGCTAGAGATAGATGCCAAAGTCACCTAACGCTCGCCATATGTAGTCACTTTTACAACTTACATTATACTCTAATTGGCTCTTGCGAGAAATGTTAAACTGTCCGTAAACATTTAATTGAACAGAACAGAACATTAAATTGAAAGTGGCACATTTTAAGGAAACATTCACCTTTAGTTATCCACTTATCTTCTGCTGTGGACGTGGACGCCAGACTATGGCAATAGCTCTTCTGCACTAACGTGCAGGCGAGCTATAAATTAGGGTTTTGGTTACAGTGTGCATGTATGTACTGTACATAAGTTGAGTTATAAAGTATCCTGCCAACAAGGTAACTGAAGATATATTATATCGGCAAAGCCTGCCTTTGTCGGCAAACTCCTCCAAACATTGGAAGCCAAGTTCTATAGATTGCAGGGAATTTTTTAGTACACTATCCTCAGACTCAGTCCTCAGATATAGTTTTGGGGGCTGTTCATAAGATCATGCTTGCCCATTCCAAGACTGCTACAGATCGATATTGTTTTTATATAAACGGCGGCTCGGTTATATAAAAGTTCCGGTTATGGCGAAAAATATTCAACAGTGTTTGAAGTTCTGAATGGCGGTCATGAACTTCAAACACTTTGTATACTGATTTATGTATGTTTTGGGATTGTATTCATAAGGCTTGAGAAAGGTA